ACACACACACACACACACACACACACACACACACACACACACAGAGAGAGACAGTGGTAATTCAGATGGTCTTTATCAGAGCCGTTCATCTGTCTGTATGTGTGTAAATGTCTCCAAACTCACCTTCCGCTTCACAAATTTATCCCAGTAATTGTTTGGGAAGGACCTGAGAGACAGAGAAGAATTTTTATCTTTAGATCATAGAAACACAATCATAACTCACAAAGATCCTCATGAAACAACAGCAGTGAAGATCGACTTATAAAATCATTATGAAATCCAGGCCTAAAAATAAAGGTTTGAATGTTTTAATTGGACTTTGTAAAGGATCTCATTTCATTTAATAATGTTTCAGTCAGCTAAACATTTTACTCTATTTTAAACATTTTTATTTAGCTATTTTTCCTATTCTTGGTACATTTTATTTATTATTTTTATATTATTATATATTTATTTATTATTTATTAATTATTATGAACCCCAATTTGGGAAATCCTAATTGATATTTAAATAATGTATCATTTTAATAATTTATAAAAATGGTATTAAATGTAAATAGAAATTATCTTTAATATTAAAATACACATTAAATGTATTTAAACAATTTACATGTTGCTTTAATAGTGTTAAAGTGTTACATTGTGTGAAATTCCAAGCATGACAACCTAGATAATATAATGAAAACAAATGAATGATTTCAGAGGTAGAGGAAAAATAACGTGTTTGAGCATTAAAACAGACAACGGGAGCTTCCAGTGCAGTAAACATCACTGATTATAATGGTAATGAGTCAGTTCTGTCACATCGCTCTGCCCTCCATCGTTAGCATTTTCCATCGGGTCGCCTCATTACTGCAATATTCCTGATTGAAATCAGTTGAGATGAGAATCAGCCTGTCACCCAAGAGCCTCGTCTGTCACTCACTGTGTGTTGATGACCAGTCGGTCCCACTGGCCTTTAATATCGTCCTCCGACGGCTGTTCAGTGATGTACAGACCGTCGAACTCCAGCTTTCTGGCCACTTCCTTCTCACGCTTGAAAATCACCAGAGGAACCTCGAGGAGAAACAGCACTATCACTCACCACAGCTCTGCTTTCCATAATCGGAGCATTTATTAAAACCTCTTTAGACTGATGCTGCCGGGCATTTCATCTTTCATGTAAGTCTAGCAGGTTTATTGTTTCAATAACTGGATTTCATTAGCATAAATTAAACTTTATGCCTAGCTTTCATTATTAGGAAATCAGATCCAGTGTCTTGTGTGAATAATATCACAGTTAAGGTCATGTGATCTGTCAAACTCAAGTGTGTTTTGGGTGAATTATTGGCTGCTGAGAGCATGAATCATTCAAAACCACTACTAAATAAAACATTTCAGTGTTTTAGTTTAATGATGTTTTAGTTTCAATGCACTTATCATTTCTAGAGCTGTGCTGGTTTAGGCTCCTGAAGCTGATGATCCTGTACCTTCAAGCAGTAGTAGCCGATGATGCAGAAGAAGGAGATGACGGTGTGCAGGATGGCTAAGATCCTCAGCGTGGGCTCCATGTAGCCGCTGCTCTCCTCCAGCACGAAGTGCACAGCGTCGGGTCGAGCGCTCGAGCCTCCCAGAGGATCCCAGCGCACGCTGGCGTCTGAAGACGAGCTGAACAACACCTCCTTCCCCTCAGAGACGGCCGAGGACGTGGACACCTGCACACGGGACCAAACACACGCTCAGACACACACATAAATGCTAGGGGTTCGTTCAGACGACTCACTAGTAGGGATGTAACGATTAACCATGAGCCGGAATATGTGAAATATGTGACGATTCAAATCGGTTCAGATGCCAAACAAAACGCGATACAATTGGAGTAAGAGTTTATATGAATGTATGTCTGAGGGGAACTGACTGTCTTTAGAAAAGTTTAGATGGTATTTTTTATTTTCATCTTGCCTCTGTATAACGCATATTAAAGTTCATAAGTGCAACTCTGCTTTGTTTACAGCGGTAACCAAGGAAACACGGCATCATTGCTGTTCATAAGCGCAGCTCTGCTTTGTTTACAGCGGTAACCAAGGAAACACTGTATCATTGCTGTTCATAAGCGCAGCGCTGCTTTGTTTACAGCGGTAACCAAGGAAACACGGTATCATTGCTGTTCATAAGCGCAGCGCTGCTTTGTTTACGGCGGTAACCAAGGAAACACTATCATTGCTGTTCATAAGCGCAGCGCTGCTTTGTTTACGGCGGTAACCAAGGAAACACGGTATCATTGCTGTTCGTAAGCGCAGCTCTGCTTTGTTTACGGCGGTAACCAAGGAAATACGGTATCATTGCTGTTCGTAAGCGCAGCGCTGCTTTGTTTACAGCGGTAACCAAGGAAACACGGTATCATTGCTGTTCATAAGCGCAGCGCTGC